AAATATCATTTGCAAACATTTCTCAAAGTTTCATCAAGTTTGGAATTGATTTGTTATGTTTAAAGGAATTTACAAATTCACGTTTTCGTTCGTGCACATGTTCGTGCATGTTTTACAAAACTGATGAGTTTTTACAAATGAGAAGTGATATTTGAAAAATTCTTTCTCTGACATGTTTATATACATGTTTAGAAACTTTCCTCCAGTTTTTACTATTTTTGGAGTTGATTTACTGTGCCTACTTGATTTTACAAAATCGTGTATCACAGCAGATTTTCAGAAACTGTATTTTTGTGTTCAAACATTTATTTCTCTCAACTGGGAAATGATTTTTCAGAAATTCTTTCTCTGACATGTTAATCTACATGTCTAGAACATTCCCACAAAATTTCATAATTTTTGGAGTTCATTTACTATTTTAAATTGATTTTACAAAATTGCTGTGCATTGCTACAGTAATCCGGTCGACCGAAATTTTGGTCGGTCGACCGAAATTTTGGTCGGTCGACCGAAATTTTGGTCGGTCGACCGAAATTTTGGTCGGTCGACCGAAATTTTGGTCGGTCGACCGAAATTTTGGTCGGTCGACCGAAATTTTGGTCGGTCGACCGAAATTTTGGTCGGTCGACCGAAATTTTGGTCGGTCGACCGAAATTTCCTCCGGTCGACCGGTACGGTCGACCGACGCTGTTTCTGCTCGATTCCCAGGTTGGGATCTTCATCGCGGTCGACCGACGATATTTTCGGTCGACCGACAAGTTGACCGTTGGCTTCCAACGGCTCTTTTCTGAGCTGATTCACTGGGGCTGTTTTTGTCTTTTGACTTGGGTTTTTGCTGAGATTTCTAGTGGGTATATATACCCCATTGCTGATGTCTTTTCAAACTAACTAAGAGAGTTTTTAATCAAGTTTAATAAAGTTTTTAACAAGGGTTTTAGTTTGGTTTAAGTGTGTTTAAAAAGCTTTTAAGCAAATTGAGAGTTTGTTTTGGTGAATAAAATTCCACAAGAGCTTGAGGAGATTATCTATTGAAGTTTGAGCTTCCAACTATCATCCCTCCATCTCTTGTTATCAAATTGAGAAGTTTTCTAAACTCAAGCTCTAGCTTTTTGAGTTTAGTTTTGATTTATATCTCTTTGTTCACACACAACCTATTGAGCTTATTGTATTTACATTCATAGTATAATTTGGGGTTGTGGGATTGTAACTTTGAGTTGTGCTAAATTGAGTTCTCACCTTGTTAGAGAGAACAATCATTTACTGTATTTGTGCTTAATTGTGAGATCACTTTGTAACACACTTGTACACCGAGTGAGAAGTGTGTGGTGAGAGTCGGGGATCGTCCCAAGAGGAGTGGCGTCGGTTGACGTTCCTAGGGAGAGGTTGTAATCGAGCACTTGAAGGAGACACGGCTAGGCCCAACACTTAGTGGGTGTAGAGTGTGATTGCAAGAGTGTGAGTTGTAGAGTTTTCGGTTAGCTAGAAAACCGAGTGTGTAGAAGAAGTTCCGGCTTCCAAACCGGATTGTGTTAGTGGATTTCTCCCGAATCGACGAATGCTTCACAACGGGTGAAAATACCTCGTTGTAATCAATGCCCTCAAGCTGTGCATATCCCTTGGCAACTAATCTGGCTTTGAACCGAATGTCCCCAATAGAAGATCCCTCCTTCTTCGCATATACCCACTTGCAACCAATAGCTTTCTTACCCTTAGGTAGATGTGCAAGTGTCCAAGTGTCGTTCTTCTGAAGAGACCGCATCTCCTCCTCCATAGCTTCCCTCCACCTGATCGAATCGGGGCTAGACTCTGCCTCCCTGAATGTGGCTGGAACCATATCATCAACGACCTCCACTGATAATGCATATGCGACCATGACATCATTATACCTAGCTGGCCGACGAATCTCTCTCCTCGGTCTATCTGCTGCAATGGTCCTCTGAACATGACCCTGTTCCTGAGTCCCATGATCTACTGTATCCTGTATCTGCCCATCTGTCATCTCATCTCCTCCCAGTGTCACCTCTGTAGGAGCCTCAATGGATACAGTGTTCTCTGGAGTGGGTGGAGTCACATCATCCTCCACCTGCTGCGATATCTCTCCTGTCTGGTCTCCCTCCACCTGCTGAGGGGCTCGAGGCCTCATCATGTACGCCTCGTCAAATGTGACATCTCTGCTAATAACTATCTTCTTGTCCTGTGGATCCCATAACTTGAAGCCTTTGACTCCATCCCTAAATCCCACAAAGACTGCTTTCCTCGCTCTCGGATTTAATTTGCCATCACTGACATGATAATAAGCTGGACACCCGAATATCCGAAGCGACTCATAGTCACTAGCCACCGAACCAAACCAACGCTCCAAAGGAGTCTTCCCGTCTATCGCAGTGCACGGCAACCTGTTCACAAGATGGCTCGCATAAACCAACGCCTCGGCCCAAAAAGATCTAGGCAATCCACTCTGCGTCATCATACACCGCACCTTCTCCAGCAAGGTACGGTTCAATCTCTCAGCCACCCCGTTCTGTTGCGGTGTCTCTCGAACTGTGAAGTGTCTTCTAATGCCGTGATCCCGGCAAAACTGCAGAAACGGATCACTCTTGTACTCTCCACCGTTATCTGAACGTAGAGTCTTCACCTTTCTACCTGTCTGCAGCTCCACTTTCTTTTTCCACTCCACAAAAATATCCAGGACCTGATGTTTATGCTTCATCGGGTATACCCAATTCCTCCTGGAATAATCATCAATGAAAGTGACAAAATAGTTGGCCCCACCAAGAGATGTGTTCTTGGAAGGACCCCAAACGTCCGTGTGAATATAATCCAATGTACCTTGGGTGTTATGAACAGCGGTGCCGAACTTCACTCTAGTCTTCTTCCCAAGTACACAATGCTCACACAATTCCATCTTGCAGGTCTTAGCACCTTTCAATAGCCCCTGTTTAGCCAATGACTGTAGGGACTTATCTCCTGTGTGTCCAAGTCTCATGTGCCATAAGGTGGTAGTGTCCTCCTCTGTAGTGATAGAAGCTGCCAGACCCCCTGTAACTGTCTTGCCCTTCAAGTAGTATAGGTAGTTTTCCCTGACACCTCGCATCACCACCATAGAACCCTTCGTGACCTTCACTGTAGCATCCTCTAAGATCACTCGATATCCTGCTGCCTCCAAAGTCCCAAGAGAAATGATGTTCTTCGTCAACTGCGGCACGAACCTCACTTCCTTCAATTCCCTCACTACACCATCATGCATCCTGATCCGGACTGAACCAATACCACCAATAGGGCATACGTGATCATTACCCATAAGCACGACATCCCCTCTTTCCAGCTCCTCAAAGCTAGAAAACCACTCCCTCTTAGGGCAGATGTGATATGTAGCTCCCGAATCCATCATCCACTCCGTGGAATCCGCATAGCAAACCGACGGTAAAGCAGGGCATGAATAGCCTGAAGAATCTGAATCTGAATGCTCACCAATAGCTTTTGCAACATTCACTTCTGAAGCTTGTGCAGCTTTCCCCTTATTCTTTCCGGCTTTTTCTTTCCACTTTGGGCAGTCAATCTTCCAATGTCCTTCTTCTTTACAATACCGACATTGATTTCTACCAACACTCTTATAGGCACTCCTATTCTTTGACTTTGAGCGGTTAAACTGACGACGGTTTGGATCTCGGCCTCGAACTGCTAACGCATCTCCCGATGCCTTCTCGGAGGGTTCACCATCACTCTTCCTCAACTCATAGTTCACCAAAGCTGAGGTCACCTCCTTGTAGCTAACTGTAGTTCTTCCATTGATCATAGTGAGAACGAACGTACCATAATCATCTTCGGGCAACGAACACAGAAGTAGCATCGCCTTGTCTTCATCCTCAACTATAATATCAACATTGGCCATATCTGAAAGTAGCTTAGTGAAATTGTTGACATGCTCCCTGATGGAAACCCCTCTCTTCATCTTGAACTGGTAAAATCTCTTCTTCAAGTGAAGCCGATTCTCAATGCTCTTCGTAAGATATTTCTCATTGAGTGTTTCCCACATCTTCTTCGCCGACGTCTCGTTCATAACATCATAAATAAGATCCGGCGTCAAGCATGACCTAATAACACCACAAGCTCTACTGTTCATCTTTCTCCAAACCTTATCCTCCAACTCAGCGGGTTTCTCTTTTAACTCAAGAGTCTCCTCCAAATTCTGTGCATCCAAAGCATCCATCACCTGACACCTCCACAATCCAAAATTGATCTTGCCATCGAACTTCGGTTTGTGTGGTATGTGCGGTATAAGCTGTGAGCCTGTGAGATTAATTGTAGCACGTTGTTTAGCTCAAACCACTATCAAAATTAGTATCACGTACGGTTCTACTCTATTACTCTATGTGCGTTAAAGTGACACATCCGTGGAATTTGCCAACTCAAGGTCTATCTAGGTATCACATGGCGAACAAACACTTAATTTTTACTTCAACTAAAATCTATGGTACATCTGGTGTATAACTTATGTGTTATGATACTGTGATAAATACTCTGAGATTATGTTTACTTCAAAACATTTATGGAACAAGATGGTTGATCTATCAAATAATGCACTGCTAAAATGATGATACTTCATATTATAGATAAACATATGGATTCTCTCTCTCTCTCTCTCTCTCTCTCTCTCTCTCTCTCTCTCTCTCTCTCTCTCTCTCTCTCTCTCTCTCTCTCTCTGTGTGTGTGTGTGTGTTTGTGTACATATTGGGTACTTGATTCCAGTTTCATGTTTATTTAAGGATACCAAATATATACAGTAACACCAATCTCTAAATATATCTGATTGCTGATTGCTGATTGCACTCTTTCTGCTTATGACCAATCCAGTGATCACCCAGTGTGTAATTAATAAGACAATGCCAAAATGCATATTATCCTTCATGCTTGTCTATATATCAAAATTTCTCTTCAATGCAATGATTGAAGACCTAAATTATTTCATCAAAGATGGCTACATATTTGTTGCTTGCATATTCATGAAACGCCAAAATGCACATGTTTTACCCTATATATCCGAAAGACAACTGATCAATATACAATATTTTGTTAATCTTCTCTTTGTGGGAATAAAATGAAGGTAGAATAGACTCATGTTGCCTAAATACATAACAAAAGAGATTAGAGAAAGAAGATCTCAAATAAATCCAATAAAAGGTTCTCTATAGGAGTTTTGAAATCAGAAAGACAATTAATTATCAATTCACAGGCTTGCCCTTCTCTCTTAGTTTGGCGACTTCCTCTTTCATCGCCTCTTTCCTCTTTTTGTTCGCGAGAATTTTTGCCCTCAAACCCGTTATCGAAGGATCTTTCTTCTCCTCTGGTGGCGGAGGTGGGGGTCTCCTTGCGGCAGCATTCGCACTCTCAACTGTTGAAGAAGAAACTAGTCCAACAGAAAGCAAACCATGCATGAATTCTCTGTACAGTATATATCCATAAAATTTGCGTCAGTAGAGCAAATAAGCTATAAAATGGAATTTTTCTCAGACTATTTTCCGTTGGGCTCCTACATCTTCATACTTGTAATAAACACGGCGAATCACACGCTCGTTTTAAACAACTTAATGGATTCGGAGGTGTAAATGACAAATATGGAGATTTGAGTGTCTAATATATATTAAAACAAAATAAATTTAGTATCAAATAGAAGAATAACCCAAAGGAAAAAAAAATCAGAACACTTAACGTAAATATATATTTAATAACCTTCTGAGACTAGCTTTGTTGCCTGGAGTTGCAGGGATCAGCTTGATGTTCTTCTTTGGTGATGGAGAGAGAGTTGGTAGAGGAACTAAGGAACTGGCCATCATTGGTTCAGAAATGTATAAAAAGAGGGAGAAAAGTTTAATAAGTATTTCTTTTCAAGAGACCAAAACTGGAATGACAGAGCCACGCAAGGATAATATTTAGGTCCACATGTGAATACAAGTCGCATTCTATTGGTCAGCCTACTGATGGATCATATCTTGTAGCAATTCAAACCATAGCTTTTTTTTATTTGTGATATGGAAGTGTGGGTACATGGATAAAATGCAACTATGTGTTTCGTTTCTTTCTTCTTCGCTAATGCAAACCCTAAGTCTCTCTGCGAACCAAACAAGAAATCGATCGGAAATAAAAAGGGAAATAAAAAGTCCAGGGTGGACACTGTGTGAGGAGAAGGAAATAGGTTTCATACCTCATTTTAGCAAACCAAACAGCCCCTCACAGGACAAAAAGTTGCTATTTCTAGAGCTCGCAAGAAAATCAAGAAACTAAAGCATAAAATGTGTTTTAGGGAAAAATCACAAACTGCTGGTACAACAGATACTATAAAATTACTTAGGCAACTGATCGTCACGCGTAAATACAGAACACGATGCGTCCTACAATATCAGCATACATACAAACGCAAGCGGTCAAAATATGATGCCATCAGAGTACAAGCGGGTTGCTTGCTTCAATTTGACTATAGGAATAGGAAGTAAAAGTTTTCCAGCAAAAATTCAGTGACCTAGGACGTTCATGTACAAAATGCGTTCTTCTTAAACAAGTAGTGATTTCTCAAGGAACTCAGCAATTCGTAGCACAATCAGAGAACTTTAAACAAATCAGCTGCAAACGCCAGTTTATATATAACTAAGTCAAAATTCGGAATATCGTTGAGGATGTCAATAACAGTCTTCTGTTTATCACCAAAAGCAGGCCATACTAACGACGACAAGGAAATAACAGAGTTGGATGCAAATAAAGCAAATAAAACCAGTTCATGAAACCCCATAGCAAAAGAACTAAACTCTATGACATCTTCACTCATCATCTTCATCCTCATCCTCATCATCACCACCAGCACCAGAGTTGAGAGCATTCAATCGTTCAATGAGCTTAGCCTTTCTCTCCTCGTATGTAAGCTTCTTCAAGTTGTATCTGAAAGACGAAATCAGAATTAGTCAACAAATTATTTACTTATTGTAAAAGAAATTAAGATAAGATTTAGGGTTAGTTGCACATATAACCCTGCAGTATCACTGCTTTGGACTTGCTACCACTTCAGTTTCATTGTTGGAACTAGACCCCCTAGGTTTAATATTTGACTCTTCGGGCCAATCAGAGCTATCAAAACTACAAGGGCAGTGAGGAGGGCCAATGCGCAACTAATCCTTAGATTTATAAGAATCCAGGCACACAACTAATCCTTAGATTTATAAGAATCCAGGCAAGATCTTTACCTCTTGTGCTCCTTTGGTGGTTCCTTGGTGGACTTCAATGGAGTCGGGTCTGCTCTGATGGCAGCATGCACCTTCTTGTAGAGCTCTTCCATGTTATCAGGCTCAATTCCTCTCTTGATGTATTCAATAAAATGAGACTGATATTTCTCTGGCTCGTCCTCCATCAGATTCTGCAAGAAGAATTACAAACATTAACAAAGCACACATACACACGCACACCAAAAAATAAAAAATAAAAATGAAGCAATAAACAACACAAGCCTTTTATGTCTTACCCTCATGTAAGAAGCAACATGGCCCCCGAAAATGTACTTCCTATGAACCTCAGCATCAAGCTGCTTATCGTCTTTCTTGAAACCAGCAAACCTCTTTTCACTGTGAGGAATGTCGAGACCTCCATCAAGTGCTCCCTGCATAAAGAAAAGGAAAATTGATTACAAAATGAACACAGCATAGCTAATCCTATTGAGTATTTGGCAATATTTTATATGCAAAGGAACTAGAACAAAAGGTATGCAATGTAGTGACTAAAAATCAGTGAGCAGTATCTTCAAAAAATTTCCCAGTCGCAGAAATCATGAACAAATAAACTAAGCCCTACCTAGAGAACCATCGACAACTGCTCATCAAGCATAAGGCCAGAAAGTTGAAAGCCGAACCCAGATGAATATTGTTCATATTGATTAGGTAGGTCAAGATGAACACAAATATAAAAATATTGTTCATATTGATTAGGTAGGTCAAGACGAACACCTATAAAAAGCTTCGATAAAACCACATTTTTAAAAATAATTAAACTGTAATAGACAAGAAAACAAATGCTGATAATTTAGAGGTGAGGTCACCCCAGACCATCAAAGCAATAGACAGACTGGTGCAAGTACCACCATCCACGCATAAGTAGCTAATTGTAAAAGAAATAAGGATTATGATGAAATGTGAAGAATACCAACACCAGACAACTGCTGTGGTTGAAGAAATCCTGGATCTAAATTTGGATATAATGACAGAAGTTAGAAAAAAGGTCACACAAGTAAACTCAGTAATCTATGCATTGGGTCAAATATCTGTACTTTTCTAAATAAATACGAAAAGATCCACATAAATTTTTAGCCCAATAATTGTTCCCATGTGATGCATCTACAAAAAAGTGAGCACTTTACTCAATTCAAAAGAATTAAGAACAAGAATATAAAGAAAATGTGGTGAAGCTGAAGATCGAAACAATACAGCAAAACCTTTCACCAACTGAATATTTGCACGAAGTTGAGAAATTGAATGTTGAGACAATGTAGATAAAGGTGTCAGATCAGTTATCGCTTGCAGCAATCAAGAACAAGATTCAGCTGTAGAGAAATAGGAACAAAATTGATAGGACAGAAATCTAGAGGGGAACTTGTATGACCTACATAGCTGAGAATGGATGTAAAACCTGAGCAGGGAATATTAAAATTTAATAACAAACAACAAATTGGCTTAAAGAGACATGATGTAGAAGAAAAAACAAGGACCGGAAAACATAGAGCATACTTTCATGAACTGACCAGGTAAGGTATGTATTAGGCTATTAGCACTCATGACTTCATAATTTCATGACACTATAAGCAATACATAAGATAGCTTATAGAATGAGATTGATTAAAAAGAGGGATATAAGTACACCAGTTCACTGATCTTCAGGCAACTGCTTTAGAGAGGCACTAGAAGTTTATTTTCAAGTAAGAGTCGATAGACGACTTAACTGCATCTTGAAGATTTGTACAGGATTATTGTTCTGCTAAATTGATGTCTATCGTTAAGCCATGGTTCTCAAAGATGTAGTCATTGATTTATGGATTGCTTTATATAAGAATATCTCTATTTTATATTTGATCCTAAACTCATGCAACTTTTTTGGCTAGTAGCTATTATTGGCACTTTAATTTTGCAAAGAGCCTTCTCCTGCTGTTTGCAAGCTAAAAACTAAACTAAAACCCTGAAATGCATGCCCCACTTCATGCTTCGCACACCACTTCAACTCACAGCTCTGAAACTTAGCTAATGTTGGGATTTTCCACTAATGAACACTATTACCTTCATAATGCGTGACTTGTCCACAGTCTACTAATGAACACTATCATCTCATTGTATCTGAACACTTGGAAGTAGAACGAAGCAGTTGAATCATGTATCCTCACAGGGCTAACTTCATTATGTACTTAATAGGCCTACTTCACTGTCCTTTCTAGTAATTCATCTCAAAAATATAAGCAAACCTGATTTCCATTTGCTTTATGAACTCTCAAATTAAAAAATATTGGTGAAGAAACTAAGCAAATGAAATTAGACGGAGGAATGTAGAAAAAAACTATTTAGATTGTACTGTACATTCTCCCAAACGCAGGAGGATAATTTCAGATAAATCTTAATTTATACTAGATAATAAAAGCAGAAGAGAATATTCACATTCACTTGCGGTGCGAAGGGAAAAGACAGAGTCAAACATGAAGTTGAATCAATGACCCATAGAGGAAGGAATACCTCACCTACGAGATGAGGTTTGTGAAGATAAAACGGAAAAAAATCCTTGCAAAAGTGAAATATCTGGCACCGTACTGCGACGATATTGTCGCTTTATAACAGGTTGTCCACCTTTACCTCCCAAGTTGCCTAAAAAAACTCACTAACATAGGTCAAGCTGTTACTCAGCTACAGAACCCCCCTAAAATTTAAGGAATCTACTGACATGAGATACTTCTTAGAAAGGAATGTTAATAATATTTAACCACCAGTAAAATGCCCTGGCTTACTCCCTAATCATGTACATACACTTTATAGAACACACTACAATTGCCGTAACAGATTGAATAACTAAACATTGCTCCATCATCTCTGCTCCAGCTCAATATGTAGTCACAAATTTTAGTTGCTAGATATAATTAGTTGAATAATACCGGATTCAGCATTAAGTATACAATCAGATATGGATTCAGTATTAAGAAAGTATACCTTGAGAGCACCGAAAACACGATTTCCAGTGGTGGTCCTAACGAGGCCAACGTCCAAGAGAGCACGGAAAGGCCTCCTGCTCTCAGCAGGCTCAACAGAGAAGTCCTCTCCGGTTGCCTAAACAGAATGTACGCTAGTCAATTAAAAGGCTCAAACTTAACTGGATATGAAAAACAGTACTGTAAAAATTACCTCAACATTCCCCTCGTATTCCTCGTCCATATCAAGATTTTTCAAGACACGGCGAGCCAACAGAAGACCAGTACAATATGCTAATATTTGGTTACAAAGGTTAGAATGTGAACAAAACACCGGCTCAACTAAAACAGCAACAACATCATGCGCAATAATGCAAAATTACCCGCAGCGTAGTTGGTTAGACCAACTTCAAGACCATAACGAGGCAGCTCATGAGCATAAGCAGCAGCCATAACAATATCACCAGTAATACTTGCAGATATTATTTGTGCAATAATATCCTTGTTGGTCTAGTCAATGGCTAAGAATTTAACAAGCACAACAAAAATGACAAACATAATATACAACAAACTCTTAATAATAAACATGAAAGATTTCAGGATACAAATCGGACAACAAATCGATACTTAGGAGTATTGTACTTGTTCTTGTCCTGATTAATCAGACGAATGCGTGCACGATAATCAGTCTTGCCGTCTGCACGGTCCAGCAATAAAATTTCACATTAAATAAAACCAAAAGAGAGTTTGACCAACAAAATTCGAATACAGTAACATAAGATAGTTATCAACTAATACCTCTCCTCCTCTTGTATTTCACTTGAAATCGCTTAAAGTAAGCCTTTGACTTCTGGGCCTTGACGAATACCTAAAAGTTCATGGGATAAACTCATGGTTAAGTACAAGGATATCATGAATAGATAATTATGTGCAAAGTGATACATCACTAATCATCATATAATTTGATGTTTCAAAGCTACGAGGCTCTTGACGCTAACTACATGAACCAAGAGTAGTTAAATTACATTAACAGTCTCACTAATCTCGAAAGTAATCAGCTTTAAGATAAGTCATTCTATAGTTCAAACAAAAACCTAGGGTTTAATCCTCTTCTCACGGAAACAAGGGACAATCAACTTCGAAATTTAGTTCTGAAAATATCCTTCAAACAGCTAACCACGGTTCATACAAGATTTGAATCACTACCCATCAAAAATTTGAATCTCATACAAAATTTAAAGTGTTCAGTACTTGATTAATGAATCACGCAACAATATAAACACTACAAACTGAAATCATTGGGGTTTGTGCAAAGAGATAAAGATCGACTGAGGATCAATAGAGAGAGAGAGAGAGAGAGAGAGAATTTGATGGAAATCTTACCATTGTGCTCGTTCTGTGATCGCCTTCGACGAATGGAGGAGAGGAACGAGAGAGATTTTTGGGGAGCGGCGTGTTTTTGTAGTTTATATACAAAAACCCTAGGTGTTTTGATCTAGGGTTTCTATCTCGTTTTTTAATCCGACGGCTAAAATCTGCATTTGGTTATGGGCTGGGCTGGGCTTTCGAAAGGCCCAATCTGTTTTAAACCCTTTTGTTGTATTTCCCCTTTTCTCCACTTTCTTTCATTTTAGTTTTTTAGGGAGAAAGGTCTGTTTGGCTTTCAAAAAAAAGAGGGAAAATTGTATTTGCGGAAATATATTTCCCGCTTCCATTTCTATTTTTTTTTTGGTTTGCAACAAAAACATGGGAAAAGAGGCTAAATCACATGAATTGGGACCCACAAGTGAGATGAAAAGAATAACAATTCTATGAATTTTTCCTGAGGTTGTTTGGTTAGTTTCTTAGAAAAGTAATTGTAAGAAAAGAAATAGGCTTGTTCGATTTTTCTACTTTTCCAACCCATTTTTGAGTTTTGAGCTTGGAGATAAACTTCTTATTTTTTAAGGACAAAAGAGCTTTTTTAAGGACAAGAAACCACTAAGATAAGAAATGACGCACGCCTTCTAAAAAAAGTTTTCTCCATATAGTTTTCTTTTCTATTATTAGGTTCATCAAAAAAAAGAAGGGAAGGAGAGGATCTAAAAAAGCAGTGGCGTAGCCAGGATTTAAACATTAGGGGCCAAAAATATATATGTATGAGGATGAAAAGAATATATTATAAAACTAATCATGAAAATGTATGTATATAGTTTGATAAAAAAACCTCAGTGAAAACATTAATCCTAAAATTGTGCATGGCGCTCTTCAAGAGAAACAAAAAACATCAAGCAGTGAAACTAAATCAAAGGTCTTCATAATATCTCTCTCAATAAAAATAAGCAAACTGTCAGCAAGAAATCATCCTTCATCCTGTTACGTAATCTAATATTCACAAGCTTCATAGCCGAAAATGCTAATTCGGTAGTTGCGATAGGAACCGAAAGAGTCAAAATCAAGCGAATTAATCTATTAACAAGAGGATAAGTCATGGATTTCTCCATCTTTGCTAAACCCTTTACATAGCTCTGCAAATAGATGACAATCCCTCCAATTCTTGATGTTTTTGACACATCAATATAAAAGTGTTGCAACTGAAATCTCAAAGTAATCCTCTCTTGTTCTGTAAAATCACAAGGATAGTACTTTTCAGCAATAGTACAAATATCCTCAATATCAAAAGATTTGTACCCATCTTTCGAACTCAAAACAACACTAAGTTTCAAGAGCTCGATCACTCGCTCATTGAACATTGTATTTAGCTCTTGTAACTAAAAGTCAATAGTGACGTTAAATATATCAAAATGGTAATGATGTTTAGCAGTGATACAATCTAGTCTGCGACGACTTCGTCCTTTAAAATATGGACCATCCAAATTTTGAACGACAATCTCATGATTGAAGCAAAAAATCATCACATTCTCAAGGAAAGAATCCCACCCATCATCTCTCAAGGTTTGAATCAGTGACATTGTACTTGATACTAAACGCATTGCATTCACGATACCTTGAGATTTTTACTGCAAAGTTTGGCAAAGAATATCAGTAATGCCCATAATTTATTTCATGAGATGAGCAATAAAAATAAATTCAAATAATCTAATTTTTTTTCAAAGTTGCATTGGCATCTCCTTTTATTTTATAGCGAGCACCGTCATTTTTGATATTTTTAAGAATAACACAAGTTGTGTTATACATCCTTAGAATGCTACAAACTGAAGAAAAGTGGGAGCTCCAATGAGTATCACCGGCTCATTTAAAGTGCACATTTGATTAAAACCTCTACATGTCTTAATTTCATTAATGGCTAGCATGCGTGCAATTTCATCTATTTGAGCAGTTTGCAACTCATCATGACGCTTAGAAGAGGCGTTAACTGCATTAATGATGAAATGTCAAATCTAGAAAAAAAAACTCATGAACATAATTTACCTCTCTAGCAACTGTCATTAACGCTAATTGTAGTTGATGAGTCATACAATGGACATAATATATAAAAGGATACAACCTAAGAAAACGTGCCTGCAATCCTCTCCATTCACCACGCATATTGCTAGTCCCATCATATCCATGTCCTCAAAGATTTTAAAGATCAAAACCATGATGTGAAAGAACGTCAGATAGATTAGAAAACATAGTGGCCACTGACAAATCCTTAATATGGGCAAGATAAAAAAATCGCTCTCTTACACAACCTACGCCATCGACAAAACGAATCACAAGAGCCATCTCTTCTCTCTTAGCTACATCTCTTGATTCATCAACAATTATGCAAAACTTAGATTCTCCAATTTTTTTCATGAATACAATTTCAAACTTTATTTGCACAAACATGCAATATCTCCTTTTGAATTAAAGGAGACGTATACTTTGTATTAAATGGAGCATTTTCTAAAATAATAGTAGCCACATCCGGATTATATAATTCTATGTATTTGAGCGACTCAAGGAAATTACCTCGATTGCTTGAATAAATGCTCTCATCATGACCTCTTAAAGCACACCCCTGCAATTTTTTTGGCCCCTAATGTTTAAATCCTGGCTACGCCACTGCTTTTTTAGATCCTCTGCTTCCCTTCTTTTTTTGATGAACCTAATAATAGAAAAGAAAACTATATGGAGAAAACTTTTTTTAGAAGGCGTGCGTCCTTTTTTTGATGAACCTAATAATAGAAAAGAAAACTATATGGAGAAAACTTTTTTTAGAAGGCGTGCGTCATTTCTTATCTTAGTGGTTTAATAGAAAAGAAAACTATATGGAGAAAACTTTTTTTAGAAGGCGTGCGTCATTTCTTATCTTAGTGGTTAATTGTTCTCAAGACGAACCAAACAACCCCGTAGAAAACACATTTTAGAGATTTTCGTTTCAAGAAAGTGGGCTGAACAATTCAAGTTGGGACCCATGAGCATGTAAAATAGATTTTTTAAAATAATAAGTTTGATTTTCTTTCCATAAATTAGTTTTTTTAGGAAATGAACCAAACAACCCTTAAATTGTATTAAACCCCCAAGAGCTTTTAGTGTTTTGTACTAAACCCCGAATAACTTTCAAAATCCCACTAAACCCCAATAATTTTTTCAAAAGACCCCCAATATTTTTTCGGTGAATTCTGCAATAATATTCAAAATGCCTTTTTATGGGTTTTTAAATTGAATGTATGGGGTTTGTTATCAAAATGTGGAAACTTCCTAGGGGAATTTATGCAATTCCAAAATTTTAGTGGGAGTTTATTGCAGTTTTGGAAGTTTGAGGTGGGGGGTGGGGGTCACTGCAAACCCCTGAAAGTTCTTGGGTGTTTAGTATAATTCACCCTTCCTTTTAATTTTGTTCTGAGAAAAATTGCTCTCCGTCTCGATGGATTAAGTTCGCTAGTAAAATAAAGGAAAATGCTGGTAAAGTCTTTTGTTTATTTTCCTCACTTTACTTTCTGTTTTTCAACTCTGGAAAAAGGTGAGATAATACTAATTATACTGCTCTTTCCATGTTGCTACTATATATTCAATGGGGTGATAGAATGGCTTTTTTTTTTGACGAAACAATATGAAAGATAGAATCCGTTGGCATTATTCAAAGGAGTATGATATCTTAGACATCATATTTATTTAAGAAGAAATCCAACAATTTGCTCGACCAATATATGTTTTCAATAATCATGTTCTCTCTCATTTGATTTTCTTTTTCTCACTATTATCTTCTTAGGAAAACCATGGCAATATTATTTTATATATTATCCCATCATTTTCAAATAGAGTAAAGATAAAATCTACTTTCACCTCCCATTTCCTCCCATCATTTGCAAACAAAATCTTTTCCTCAATGTTTGAATATCCTACGAGGCAAAGATTTTCCTTTAGAATGTCACCAACTAAGCGCATAAGGGGGTGTTTGTTTCAAAAAAATTTTGGGATATAGGCTGAATTTCAAGTTTTGGGATGTAAAAAGGGATTTTTTTGGGTTTTGGAATTCCATAAACTATGTTTGTTTCAAAAAATATTTTGGCATATTGAATCCCAAAAACATAAAAAACTAATTTATTTTAGGATTTGAGAAATCCTGTTTTTGAGACCGGATATGGGCTGGATCTCTGACAAAACAAGTCCACTTCAGCCAACTGCTCTCGTAATCCCGAAAACCGATTGCAGACCCAACTATAGAGTCACCGCTTCCCTCTCCCATTTTCGTCTCCCTCCTCTTTTACCCACCGTCTCATTTTCCGCGCGAAAACCATAGATCTCCTACCCTCCTCTCCGCCTCTACGACGCCACCCCCTCCCTCCTCTAGAAATACCTAGGGCTTGTGGCTGAGGGGGAGGGAAAGAATTTTCCTCGCTTGGCACCTGAAAATTCGCAGGAAATCTAGGGTTAGGGTTTCGCTTCTGCTCCTCTTCGGCGAGTGGATGAGCCTAGTCTTCAGATATAGTCTATCTTTTGGTGTTTAATTGCTGAGATTTTTGTAGAAAGTTGGTGATTTTGACGTGTTTTGGGGATTTATCGAGGGATTTTAGCTGGTAGTGTTCGATTTTTGAAGAAATCTAGGGTTTAAGCTGGTGAGTTTTGTAAATTTCGACAAAGATTGCTTTGAAGATTCATGTGATTGCAACCTCCATTGCAACATCATTGTTAGATGAGGCAATCCATGTATTCAATTTTAATACCTATATCTGAGTCCCTACCTTGGTCCTATTATGAGGCTTGGTTGCTTGTGAGCTTGCTTGTTTTCTATGGTTTCAGTTTCAGTTTCATATTTATTCTCAAGAAAATGTTGTATTCTTTGTCTAATGGTTGCTTGTGAGCTTGATTCAGATTGTTTCAGCACTCAGTTTATTTCAGATTCAGGTTGTTTCAGGTTCAGGTTGTTTTAGCTTTAGTGTTTTCTAATAGTTGCTTGTGAGCTTGTTACTGAGCATGTTTTTGATGGGGGCTATGATGATTGGTCATCTAATAGTTGCTTGTGAGCTTGTTACTGAGCATGTTTTTGATGGGGGCTATGATGATTGGTCACGTAAGGATTTGAGGCTATGATGATGGGTCCATCATGGGGGCTATGATGATTGGTCACGTAAGGATTTGAGGCTATGATGATGGGTCCATCTTGCTTGTTTGCGACTGCTTGCTTGCAGCCTTGGTTTGATCATGTTTGTTCCTGGAGTTCGATGAATATCATCTTCATTCATATAATATCACTACATGCCTCTTCTCTACTGATCTCAGATGATTTTATCTTTGTCGGTAGTGTCCCTGTGCATGCTGTCGGAACTAGTGTAAGCAGCCTCTCCTTTGGTTATTACAGACTATGCGTTTGTAATTGTGTGATTTCATGAATAATTATGCCTTACAGATAGGCCTCTGTCAAATTCTGACTCAACTTCCCATGATTGTGTATCTTGTGCAAGTTGTAGAGGCTACTGCCATCATGACAAAGATAGTCCTATAGTTCTCAGGCATGTTTTCAATTCTATGTATTCAATTTTAATACCTATATCTGAGCCCCTACCTTGGTTACTTGTTTGTTTTCTATGATTTGCTTGTGAGCTTGTTTCAGATTCAGTTTGTTTCAGACTCAGGATGTGCTAGGCACAAATTGTTTCAGATTCAGTTTGTTTCAATGGTTTCTTGTGAGCTTGTTACATGGTTTCTTTGTTTCAGATTCAGTTTGTGCTAAATGGATTTTCTTGTGAGCTTGTGTCAGATTCAGTTTGTTTCAGAATCAGGTTTTTTCAGATTCAGGTCATAACTTCAGATTCAGTTTGTTTTCTAATAGTTGCTTGTGAGCTTGTTTACTGAGCCTGTTTTTGATGGCGGCTATGATGATTGGTCACATATGGATTTGCGGCTATGACGATAGTGTTATGAACTTTTGTTTGTAGACTGGTTGTTGCTTGTTGTTGCTTGCTTGCAGTCTTGGCCAAAACATGTCGTTTGTGAAGATTATAGGAGCTTGTTTGTAGACTGGTTACTTGCTGGTAATATGGCTTGCTAGAAGCCTTGGTTTGTTGTGGGTTTTACATCCAATCTGAGCTGCTCTTGGGTCCAACTTGCTTGTGTGTGGACAGGTTTTGTTTAATTTTTGTGAAAGGGGCCTGAAACAAATTGAATCTGAAATAAACTGAATCTGAAGCAATCTGAAACAAGCTCACAAGCAACCATTAGAAAATGATATTTGATGGTCATATTTTGTATAAACTAAATATGAGCTTGGGTTCTTTTGCAGGTTTATATAAATATGGATGGATATGATACTTGATAGCAACCTACATTGCACGATATGTATTGGTATGGCTATTTTGTATTGTTCAATTTGGGCAATGATGATGGTCATATTATGAGAATGCAATCTACAATGTTCTGTTTTGTTTAGGTAGGGCAATCTAGGATGAGAATGCAACCTACATTGTATTTACAATGTTAGGTGAGGCAATCCATTCATGTGATTGCAACCTCCATTGCAACATCATTGTTAGATGAGACAATCCATGTATTTAATTTTAATACCTATATCTGAGCCCCTACCTTGGTCCTATTATGAGTTTTCTAATGGTTGCTTGTCTGAGCCTTTGTTGTTTGAGTTATAGCTTGTTTCTGAGCATGTTTTTTATGGCTTGTGAGTTGGTTGTTTTAGATTCAGTTTGTTTCAATGGTTACTCGTGGGCTTATTACTGAGCATTTTTATTTCAGATTGAGCACTAAGCATGTTTGATGGCTTGTGAGCATGCTTGTTTGCGACTGCTTGCTAGTGTTCTTGGGTCCAACTTGCTTGTGTCTGGACATGTTTTGTTTAATTTTTGTTAAAGGGGCCTGAAACAAATTGAATCTGCATCTTGTATGTTATACAATTGTAGGTGTTTTTTTTTGAGAGATAAGCTCACCAAAGTTCTTATATTCACCATTTATTATTTTGGTAATCCTAAAACTTGTTTGTTACAACTATGGATTTCAAATTCTAAAATTTGCAATGCTACAATTTGAGTTTGAAACAAACAAGAATTTACAAATTATAGCATTTCAAATCCCAAAATATTGATGAAACAAACATAGTTTTAGGAATCCCAACCCATAACAAAAAACCAATGGATTTCAAATCCCATGTTGAAATCCATATCCTAAAATTATAGGATTTGAAACAAACACCCCCTGAGTAGAGTATAAGTATTTCTTGGTTTCTAGCACCTGAATCGTGTCCTTTTTTCCTCTTTAGAATTGGGATGAATACAGTATTCCAGAATTATTAAACCTGAAGCTTTCGAAAAGCTTCACTAACTTTATTGCAGAAGATTGATCGAACGAATACGTTAGCAGGCTTGCGCTCATGATCACCAACAAAAATTTGGTCTGTCCTCTTAATTTCGACGAGGAAAGTTCGTTGGCACAGTGAAGAATGGCATTTATAGTTGTTATTTCTGTCGCCTGAGAAAATCCCTCATATGTTGGTGTAGATCTCCATCAACAATCAATCTCATCTTCTTTGAGTCTTCCCACAACAAGCCACCAAGTTCCCTTGCAAAGTCACAAGCTGCTTCAAATACATCCTGCATGCAATAATAAAAAGCAAATAGTGAAAAAAAGTAATTAAGGAAAAGAGAAATTTCGCAAATAAGAGAGGGAACACAGAGAAACAAACCACCTTGGATGGGAAATCTTCGTACAGATGAGATGGAATCAAGTCAACTCTGTTTCGGTCCCCTTCCCACAATCTAATCTGCAGTTTGACAATATATACCATATAACCGTGAGTTTGTTGATTATATAATTAGTCTTGGCAAAAAGCTAAATATAAGGTTCCAGGCTGTTAATCATTTTCTTGGATGATTCTTTAATTACCTGATCAGTAACATTTTCTGGAATTGCCGGTGTCTTCTCAGCAACTCGAGGATGTGCATTCTGCTGAAGGAAAGAAATAATCTGAAAGAACACAGTTATAATATATTTCAGTGAGAAGATACTTAAGAAGCAAACGTCCGCTAGTTGTAACAGAACCATTATCTATAAGATTTTATTAGATTCAGAAGATAACATAAAGAACCGAAAGCTGAAAGAACTTGACAATGAAAGTCCAAAGCTAAAGAACAAGAAAGAAGCAAGACCACACAAAATCTAGGAGGAGGTAAGATATTTCTGAACTCCTAAATCATCGGAGGGAAGAATTGTGGAATAAATTTGTTCAATACCATGTCTTCTGATGGAGGAACAAAACTTTTAAGTAGAAAATACAAACTCTTGCCTGATCGGAAGTAATTCCATTTTCGAAAGCATTGTATAAACTTTCTTTTGTTATAGATCCAACAATAAGGTTTGGAAGTTGATACTCTATCCTGCAAGCACGAAATATCAGTTGCACTTTATCCAAATATTCATCAATGTCTGCACCTGTCCCTATGCAGAAAATTATCATATCAAATCTTCTAAATTATGATCATCGAATAAATTTCATAGTATTTGATTTATTCTAAGGACGAATGGCAAAATGTTGTAAATGGTAATAACGATCAAAATCAGCCACATATAATAGCATAAATAATGACATGTATTCTCCAATACAGTTCTCAGCAGATAGTGGGCACATGTTGTTTTCTCACTGGGAAAATAATTGAAAATTACGGTTTATATAGACTTCTGCTTGGGACAACTCAACTAGAAACAGAATGTTAAAACTTGATAAGCTAAAATGGATGATATATTCATTATATAATACATCTGAAAATTCATTTGATGGTTCAGTGTACTTCCATTTTAAACTTACCTAACCTGCGACTTTCAGCATGTTATAGTTTGTACCTGAAGCACAATTTTTCCAAAAAAGAAAAGTAAAACTGCCAAAATCCATCTGAAATTAATGCTTTCTTCTGAAAACAATAGAAAACTAAGAGGACTTCCATGGATCGAATAGGTTTTTAATTTAGATGACAAAGAAAACTCCAAGCCAATTTCAATATGAAAAGAGAACAAAGAAATTCTAATGTACAAGAAAATGAGAGAGACATTGTGAGAATACAACGTCCATATTACACTGTTACAAAAGCCCCTAATAGCAACAGTTAATTAAATTAACCGATGCTAATAGGGCTATTGAAACAGTTATGTCAATAGGTGTTTTTGGTTTTATATTTCAAACTGTTCCTTCTAAAAAATCTTAATTTAACTAAATATAAAAAAATCACTAGAAAAGTGTGCGAAAGGAAAAATTTTGGGGAGCAATTTAAAATTTGGTTTATTTAGAAAAGTGAAAAGGCAAGAAATCACTAAAAATAAGATGTGATAGCAAGGATAACTTCTCCGTTACTTGAGAAGATACAGAGGCGAACTGATCTTCTCCCTCTGATCTTCTCCACGCAGATCTGGTGTGTCGTCTCTTCACCACCCTCCCTCTCTATGCCCCTCGTTGACCCATACATGTATTCATGTTTCCTTTTTCTCCCCCTTCATTTTTATGAAGAGATCCTTCTTTTTCTTCTTCATATTTTGCGAGAAAATTCTAATCTTTGGGTGTTTCTTTGGATAAAAAGCCCTAATCAAGCTCTATGTTCACTTTTCACGATTCTGAAGAAAAAGCCCTACTTTTTTATACTTATTGGAAAAACCCTACCTTTCGGTTTTTTTTGGAATCATGATCTGACATAGATAAGTTTTTATACGAATCTAAAATTCCTTAATTCTGTGACATACATTTACATGTTTAATTTGACAGTGAATTGCCTCAACTCGAGCTAAGATGAACTGGGAACTTGAAATTGTCTCTAGGTATAATTTGATGGTAAAAACTATACCAAGTACTGCAATTTGCATGCTAAAAAATGACAAATAATAGGAGAATTATTCTCTATCAAATTTGTTCTCTTGAACATTTCAAATTTGTAAGCTAGTATCTGAGAATTGGCGGAATATCTTTCATGATCTTAACATCGTTTATATGACATACTAGTGGGCCTAATCTTCGGATATTGTAACATATGGGCCAGGGAGCATATATAATAAAGATATGGGCTAGAGAGAATATATAAGTACATAATTGTATGCTCTTTGGTTGTCAAGGCTTCAGACAAGTATATAAATGTATGTGTGTGTGTGTATATTTCATTGCAAGACCTCAAACTTTGATGTTTATAAAACTGTGTGCAGGAGTTGTCATGAGCTGTTGAAGAATCTCATGAAAATGCCGACCAAGGAAGCATGTAGTTTCTCTTTTAGTAAAAAATTTGTGGTATTAGTTTCAATTGAATTACAAAAAGACATCTCTTACTAACACAATGATGGAACTGGTTCTTCTTCAACTTTTTACCCAGAATATCCTATCACATACCTTTGTGCTTATTCTGCACTTATGGATATACATAGTTTATGTGTCCATGCACTTGTTGGAGATATGATGGTCTCTATAAACTGCAATAAGTCATTAAAGTTGTTGCTGTCTAGGATTCAAAATAACTAATTACGCTTTGTAGTTGTTGGAACTTGGAAGAATTACATGCCAAACAGAAAAATGGAATAGAGATGTACAAGAAGTTGGAGAGGCTTAAAGAATCCTGACGACCTGAAAGACATAACTTGAGTGACACAAATTCAAATAATATATGCTAGGAAAAGGATTATGCTTTGCAGGTTTTTGTGCTCCGTAGAAAATATAAATAACCTTTCTTTATGTTGTGGTGCAAATTAGAATTTCTCATACTCACTAATATATATCCCACCTTTAACTTTTATTATTATGAATAATATGCGTTAACGAGATGTAATAATGGATAAAAAAACAGGTGTTGAGGGAACTTGCGACGTTGAGTAAACTTCTTTTAGACTTTGCCAAACCTTTTTGTCTTTTGTTATCAAGTTTAGAAGATCTTAAATGAACAAACAACTGCAGTTTTGAAAAGGGAGCAACACGGTTAAAATTGAAGCACTTTAAACTTTAAAGAGTGGAACAAGTTCTGCAAAAGAGATGCACTCATATGGTTAAAGGTTTGTAAAACTTTTTCATATTATATGTGAATAAATATATTTCAAGTTTTGGTAATGATACGTTAGTAGTTCTTCTCATGTCTACTACTAACACGTGCATTTACAAATATAAGAGGAAATATTAGACTTTATTGTCCCTCATATCCGTTGAATGCGGAGGAGATTCTTGAATGCGGAGGAGATTCTACAAAGGTCCAACGTGGATGAGTTAACATTCAAGATGATTGAATGCAGGTAAATAGTTTTTCTTAAATTAAATAATATGCCCATATAACATAACTCTTAATTTTAATGCTATTGGCATAACCATTTCTGCATAATTTAGTTATAATTGAATTCAGATTTAATAAATCAAATTGTGCCATCTTTGTTATAGGACGAGTGGATTATATGATGGTAGAAGATCAAGTATAATATGTGGAGGAATAATGAAGTTATAATTATTGTATTAGATCAATGAGAATCCCACTCTGATCTAGTCTGTCCTTTATGATTGTATGTAGTAATTTTATATGATATTGAATTTTGACATTTGTAATGTTATTGAATTGTTTCAGTGCTATTGAATTGTTTTCTTAAATTAAGCATTTAATACATGAAATTTTAATTTGCTTGTTATTTTGATTTTAATAGAAAGAAAATTTATGTAATTGTAATCATTGTCATTGTTTATACAATAAAGTTATTTGCTAAAAAGATCCTATAAGCAACATTTATCTTCCATATTAGCAACGGTCACTGTTTTAAAAAACCTCCGCCTAGCCGTACGCCTAGGCTTAGGCAGTACCTAGGCCGCCTAACTAGCGCCTAGTGCCTAGGCGATATTTAGGCTGCCCACCTAGATTTTACAAGCATTTAGGGGAGCATTGTCTGCTTATGTGGATTACACCCTAGGCCTTGGTTCTAATTTTATATGTTGTAGCCTATACGTCCTCCAAACTTCATTAACCTCCAAATATGAACACCTCTACTACCTCCTCCGACCTTCAGCAAAACCTCATCGACCACCATTTAAATGAAGAAAGAAATCCGCCTAGATATCAGTCCGCCATCTAAGCTTTCTATAACATTGACATTCACTATCAATTATTGTAATTAAAAATTAAAAAAGAAAACATCTTAGGCTCTAGCCTTGTTAATTATTGTTTTGGCTATTTAGTATCTAAGTATGCATGATTTATTGTGAAACTAAGATTGCTATCTTTTTTTTGAAAATTTATATGAATTGAATACATATTTTAATCAATTATTATAATTAAATAATTTAAAAATAGTCAAACGCCTAGGGGCCTAGGCGCTAGGCGCTCGCTCAAACGTCTAGTCTGCCTAGCGCCTTATGTAACATTGCCGAGCTCCCCCACCCTAACCTATACTGGGTTTCCTAGTTGCTGATGGTTGCTCAATTTACACTCAAGTACTCCTGCGCATGTACATGCCCACTTATAAATTTATAACGCACAAAATCAACAAGTTGAATGTATATTGATAATTTTAGATCTATAAATAGATATTGTGTGTAAAACAGTGATCCTTAATGCTAAAAAACCAAACCATTAATTCGCCAATGATCCTAATCCACCTCAACCTCAAGGATCCTTTGAAAATTACATGGATTGGAAGCAATATCCATGAAGAAATTATATAAGAGCGCATTTTTATCTCATATTTATGCTACTTCGGAACAACACAATTAAAAACTGAAACCCAATATAGTCAAATTGTGAAGGAAAGTACATAAATGTATTCATTGCAGTTACAGCAGATAAATTTTACCTTGAGAACAAACGCAAAATTTCACAATGCAGTTTCGATGTCGAGTAAGCATACATTCTGAAATTCGTTTCCACCACTACATATCCCTGCAGATTTTTGATATCATAATTTAACGGTGTATTTTATAGACCTCTCTTCCAGGATACTTGAAATAGATTTGTAACATCAAACAAACAAACACGACAATGACAGTCGTAGCTTGGGGAGAAGCAACAGCATCTGTATCGAAGATGAGAAGTATTACCTTAACATGTCGAGTAGGCACAAGAAAGATTAAGACATTTCTTATTGGGCTGCCACTTTTCCAAATAATAACAGATGAGAAGAATTTATGGCTGATGCTTAGTTAAGGCTTTCTTATAGTTTGCTTATTACATTAATCGTCTTCACACTATGAACATTCGCATGAATCATACAAAATATTCATTTCCATATACTGGCTTCTAAATTTTCTCTTTATAAATGTAATAAATCAACTTAAGAATGGAGTTGGTACTTAGATACAGATGATTGAGTATAGACAACTGCCTTTGTTAGTGTTTAGTGTAGCATGAACACACGAGTTTCTTTACCGATTTAGGACGAGTATGATGTTCTGATATTCACATGATTAGATGACGCAAATTAAAGGGTAAATATCAGAAAACCCCCTTAACTTTGGACGATTATCGAAAAGCCCCCCCTCAGCTTTCAAAATATCAGAAAAAATCCCCCGTAAGTATAGGGATTATCAGAAAATCCCCTTTTTAACTTTGAGATTTTATCAGAAAACCTCCCTTTTGCTTTGGGATTTTATCAGAAAACCCCCATTATTTTGGGGGTTTCTGATAAAACTCTCAAAGTTAAAGATTTTTTTTATAATCCTTAAACTTCAGGGGGATTTTCTGATATTTTGAAAGTTAAGGGGGTTTTCTGATAATCGTCCAAAGTTAAGGGGGATTTATGACACTTAGCCTAAATTAAATGCACTTAATAAGTTTCAGTAAGACGAGATTGAGGGCAAAGATGTTAATAATCCTTAAAACTTGTCTTTCAAATATTCATAATGATTTGATACCGCTGAAGATAATTTCACGTCAGTACCTAATCATATATTTGGGTATATCTCTTAAATGACATGCTTGAGGCCTATCAGAAATGCAAAATGCAAACCTGCTTGCGTGCTGATGTATCAGACAAGCTAACTGACAGATTGGTAGCTAACTTAGTAGGTATAAACCAGCTTTCTTTTCTTCCCTGTAAAATTGGAAAGGCTTAAACGTCTGAGTATTGATTCGCTGAATATCAAAATGAGGAAAGTACAAAATAGGACAATGTCAACCTGTTGAAGTTTGACTAGTCCCAGGCTTGCAAGATCTTTTATAGCATTTCTTTGCACATCAGTCAACGTACTCAAGTTATATGCCTAAAACAAGTTCCAAAGCATCAGCAACCAGCTTAAAGAAACAACAGCACTAGAAAACAGATATGTCCTATATCAAAAGAAATAAAAAAAATAAAGTGTATATGTAAGGTTTCTCTTCCGAATTATCTGGTTTATCTTCTGAATTATCCGTCATACCACCAATGAAAATATCTAAAAGACATGAATATCTAGCCCATGTCAGTCCTCAGCTTTGATTATTAGTCGGGTCTTAAAGATGGTTAGAATAGGGCCAGTCTGGTAAAAAACCAAGAACATACACTAGTCATTAGCTCAGTTCATAGTCTACTGTCTAGGTTATTGGCCCATTAACACATCAATTATCAACATGTAGGTGAATGTATATGAAGGATTTACTCAGAAAGACAAATTAAGGTTCCCTAATATTTGAACTGCCTGGAAAGACATAAGAGATCACTCGTAGATAAGGTCACAAGCAATAGGATCAACATTGTACCTAACATAATAAATGAATAAATAATCTAGTCAGCTTGGCTCCGTTGCTCAGGATGGATATAGAACAAGCATGGGCATTGCTGTACCGGGTTCTGACTGATAATGGGCCTAAGTGGATACCAATTAGGTTTGGCAAAACAGTATCTATATTAGCTTTTAAATACATATTAACCTCAAAAATATTAAGTATACATGCATGAGTATTGCACTTTCACCCAAATTCACTGTGTGTATATGTTAGCTTCTATTGCTCTAACAGAAAAATGAAATAGCCAGAGAGACTCATTTTTTTTTTTTTTTTGACTTTAAACTCCCCAGTAAACTAAAAGAATGGCCAAGAATGCATTTTGTCGTAAACCATACACATGATGCTGAGTTACATTCAATAAGACCCTAAATTTTTCTACTTAACTATATAAACCCAAGAAATGAGTAAGTCTTCAACAGAATATTGCCAAAATATGTTGGATAATAGTAACCTTAAATCTTATTTTAGTGGAACAAAAATACATTTATTTTTTAGCAGATGCAACAAAAACGAAAGAGGCTTTTCATTCTACGATGGATGGACTTTTGAACTTAAAGAAGTGTCAATTGAGAAGTTGCAGTGCTGTGGAAGTTGTTCTCCTTATCTAATTTGACATTGATGACTACGGACACTAATTGGCCAACAGTAAGAAAGCATAGTAAGAGGAAATGAGAGCTGACTTAACACTTTTCATCAAAAGGTATTGTCTGTTTAATCGTCTCTCTGTGTTCTTTTTTAGTTAAACCAAGATCAACGCTACTAAGGAATGCACTCTATCAGAGAACATATGAGTCTAGACAAAGATCAAACTCATAAGGATCTCCTAATATATATAATGAACAAAAAGGTAACTCTAACACATACTTGATGGATAAACAATTCAAATTAAAATCTTGCAGTTTCCAAGTAGATGCATTTGGTTGAGAGAGGAATGCCAAAAAAATACTCTACATGAATGAACTGCAACATAAATGGAGAAAATAGATTCTGAATAATAAAAATAGCCTACAATTATCATTGAGACATAAATATACTGTAAATAACTTGAAACAGTTTTATAACGAAAAGCAAATACAACCAATACCTTGCCCATGGTATGAAAACTAAGCTCAAGCAGAAATGATATTAGTTCTGTTGGGTCCACACCACGATCCTTCAACCAATAAGAAAAGTCAAAGCATTAGAATATCCAAAAAGGTAAATCACATGGGACACAAACTTAGAAAGAATGGACATAAACATACAAGCATGCATATGTCCACGCACGCACGCTCTCAGAGACATACACACATACATATATACATGCATAATTATACATGTATGCACATATAGGTACATACAACCAACATTTATGCGCACATGCTAAGTATTAAATAGATAGATAGGGCTTAAACTTCTGCCTTTTCCCATCAAATCTGGAGTCAGATACTAACTCCAAAAAGATTTAATAAAATTTTATAACCAGCTGCAAATCTGATAGCAACCCTCCAAGTTTCTAGCAAGAAAAACAAAGCACTTTGATATAAGTTATAGAAGACTCTAGTCTAGTCAAAAGGTAGGAAATTCTACATTATCAGTTACGCCGATAATACTCGTGAAATCAAATAGTGATCCTTCACAATTTTACTTGATAAATAAAGAGTGTAGAAGCGGAACATGACAGGTTTTCTATTCAGGATTACAATCAAGAGGCACTAATAAGACGAAGAAACGCCTTTCACATATCCTATATATATAAAAGCACAAATAAAGTACATTAAATATTTAGAGGTATTAAGTACTTGCTCATAATGAGCACCAGTAATGATGAGAAATATGCTGGTGCAACTGGAAGTTACGGAAGGAGTGCTAGAATTCATACCTCTGAAGATGAGATATATTCCCTTACTATGTACCATAATTGGGCATTTGTATCCATCAGCTGTTTAAAGAAACAATCATAAGGTACTATGACTGCGAATAACGAATTTATCAATGAAGGTTTAATGGAAACAAACCAGGAACTGAAAGCCATTCTCAGTTAACCTCACAGCTTCATTTTCCCTGCATGGCATCAGAACTGTAAATATTTCATGCATGTCTACTTGTTAGATATCTATATGCTGTGAATCCACCAACTTAAATAAGGAAATTTCAAAGCAGAAAACCTTGAACTCAAAAGACCTCGCTGAAAAACTCGCATCATAGAGGAGCTGAAATTCGTTACCCTCTCCACTTGAGCTGAGCTTATGAGTTGCAACAAGAAACACTGTTTACCACAAGGTGAAAGAATATTATTATCTTCAAGAATATAAAAATATGAAGCAAATGGCCCAAACCATATGACTTGGAACAGAGAATAAGGTGCAATACCATTGAATATACTTAAAAGTCGTAATATAGAAAATATAAGGACAGAGAGAGAACCTCCCATTGCTCAAGAGCATAGGCCTCTAGATCCTCTAAGCTTGGCAATCTCCCTGTGATATTGGAGGACATTGGCTCTCTAGATAGAGTTCCACTGCAATAAGATAAAAGAATTTGAACTAAAAGATTCACTTGATATGAATGTTGTAATGTTCAAATAGGGTGCTCATTCGGAGACTGATATAATAAATTTAATAAAATGATTCTTTTGGGTCCTCTTATTGTATTTAAAATTTAAACTATCATTGAAAATTAGTAGTGTCCTTTCAAGTGCTTAAATATTTTTGGCTAATAAAAGAATCATGATTTGTTTAACAGATATGGTTTAGAAATCAAGTGATTGTTGTAGAATTCTAAACATGACTTTTAACATTATTTGCTTAGCGATACTATGTATACAAATAGTATGTATAAAATTTTCTTTGTTTAACAGATATGATTTAGAGGAAACCAGGGCTTGTTTCTTCAAGAATTTGGGTGATAACTACACGCTGACATGGCAGGCTCAAGTCAAGTGGTCAAGCACCAATACTTGGATCGAGCCAACCAAAGGATGCAACCCTACTTCTCAGCTATGTAGATTTGATATGAGCTCCAAAAACCAAACACTATAGGCGGAGAATGGAAAAGCAATTAGAGCATTATGAGTTGATCAAATGGCTCAATTTAAACAGATTGAGCCAACCCAAATGTGCAATCATGTGTTATCAGCTCTCTGAATGCAGTGGTGGATGCAAATTTGTTTTTTTTTTGGGTGGGTGGGAGGGACTCTACTGCAAGTATCGCACAGATCATCATAAATTGACAATGATCAAGGAGGTGTTATAGGTCTTGTTGATTGGGTGTTGATAGTGGCTGACTGTCTACATGAGGTGTCGTCCTGTAACCTCATGGTTGATGACCAAGGTTTCTTTTAGGCATGGCATGGCATGGAACATGGTTTATACAAGCATAGAGTTTGCATTAACAGTTGATCATGTTGTTTGGACAAAGGAGTAGCATGGTTTAGTGATCATGTAGTTCAATGCAAGAGAAACAACCATAAGACTTGTTGACCGGGAAAAGATTTTGACTGAATTTGAAACTAAAAAAAGCCACTGGAAAACGAATCGGATAATCATCCGGAGATGAATGAACAATGCTGGTGAACAGGGACCCGTGAATAGGGTTGGCGAACGGTCTCTCGCTCATCTCTCTCTCTCTCTCTCTCTGCCAACGGTAGCTTGCTCTCTCTCTCGGCTAAAACGGTAAGCTCTCTCTCTCTCTCTCTCTCTCTCTCTCTCTCTCCTTTTTTTGAATGAAATAAATCTATGATAAAAATAATAGATAAATTAGGATAGCACAACATCTAGCTTATGGATAAATAGCTTCACTCCTTGAGGAATCACTCTAAAATTCTCAGATAACCATAATTTTATTCATCAGTCAATGTCATTTCCTCTTGTTTGGATACAACCTATTTATAGAATAAACTTAACAATGAAGATAACACCAAATCACCTAAATCATATCCAATAAAAGTAAAAATATTATCCTAACCACATATCTAATAGAAAGATCTAAAAAGATAAATTCTCAAACTGAAAATCCCTATCAAATAAAATAAAATCTCCCAAATAAAATCCAAACTAAATTACCAAATAAAATCAACTCAATCTTAGCTTGTCCAAAAAATTCAACCTAAAATTTTATGAATGGAGAGTATAAAAATTCCTTTAGTGGGTAGTATTGTTGTATGCACTACAATATCTTTAAAGTTTTTTGCATAATTCAATAACGTGTAGGTCGTGGAGGATTTGGAATGACAAACTATATTATCGAATTACTACAGATTGGAAGTATCTCGAACTGCACTTCAATTTTGGACTCGGGCTTTAGGGTTTATTCACGCTCGGCCTCTGAGTCAATCTTGCGTTAGTCTTTATTCAGCCTCGAGTTCAAGTTCGTGCTTTGAATCTTCTCATTTTCTTCTTGTGCTGGATATTGTTCAGATTCAAGCACTGTATTGGCTTCAAATCTAGTTCAGGTTCCGCTTCTGATTTTGGTGTCCGGTCCATTTTTGACTATGGATTTGACTTAGGTTCATATTGTAGAGTTACATCCGACCGGGTCTGGGACACTTTTATCTTGGGCTTTGAAGAAAAATAATAATGTTTTCTTGTTCAAGTTGGATAACTAGAATCTCTTTTCAAGCAGAAAATTCATCGGTGCCCACGAATATATCTATGACTGATGATTGGAATTGCTATGAAACCACCAATCCCGAGCTTTTCGTTTTAACCTACACTTTACTTCCATATACATCTCCCAATATGACAAATCATAAATAGTAAATAAGTCTTCTGAATCTTGCATCCAAAGCTCAAAATCATATCTTTCTTCATATCTATCAAATCCATAAAAATAAGACATTGCTGAATTTCAAAGGATTAAATTCAAGTTGTTGAGATAGAGGAAGTGGATATTTACCTATGATTATCGTGGATTGCAGAACTTGCTCTGATACCAATTGATGGGGAATGGATTCTGATTGAATTTTAAATTGAAAAACGTCATTGGAAAAAGGATCGGATAATCATCGGAGGATGGATGAACAATGGCGGTGAGTAGTAACAGGTGAATAGTCTCAGAAAACAGTAACTTTCTCTTCTCTTTTTAAATCAAAGAAATCTAAGATAAAGAAACAAATAAAATAGGATAGACTCGTTTCATAATTGCTTTACACCTTGAGGAATCACTCAAAAATTCTCACAAAACCATAATTTTATTCATCAATCAAGATCCTTCCTCATGAAGGATACAACTTATTTATAGAATAAACTTAACAAACATCAAATCATCTAAATCTAATCTAATAAAACTGAAATTATTATCCTCACCAAATATCTAAAATAAACATCTAAAAAGATAAACTCTCAAACTGCATATGCCCATCAACTAAAATAAAACCCAACTAAATTACCAAATAAAATCAACTGAATCATAACTTGTCTTGCATCACTTGGGCAAACCTAGCATTCATTATGTAAGAAAGGGATTTCCAGTCCTATGAATTTTTCCCTTTTCATATCATAGATATACAGCTCTTAATTTGGTTCTTCTAGAATCATGTATTTCAATCACATGTCATGTGACCATAATTTTTTCCCCTCCACTCTGAACCGAAAAAAGGATAAGAACAGGAGATAAAGAAAAAAGCACCAAGCCATACAAGAACGGCTTGAAGTAAATATGGTCATGATGTAAATACACCTTGCATAGTGGGATTAAATCCCACTAAAGTTTGCACTACATAATAACAATTGAAATCAAAATAAAAGATGTCATAGCTATTGGTAGACCAGGATCCTCTTAAAGGGTTGTGGAAGACATAAATAGAGGATATTAGGACATTGGCTTATCAGATAAAACATGCATGGTGCTAGATATTATGTCATCCTAATTCCACAAAACATGCATGATGTTTTGAAGTCAGTATTTAGCACAAGGATTCACATTTAAAATTGGTACAGCTTTCTTAGTCGCCTACGACCCTAGATCAACATGCTCAGTATTTGAACACACTTGAGATTTTAAAGCTCTACAGCATCTAAGAACATCCAACATAAAAATCATCAGAAATCCAGATATGCTCAGTCCATATTCTGATGGCAAGTAATTTTTTTCCTTCCTAATACCACATTATTTCAGCACCATTCTAATCAAAATTGGGTAGCTTTAAGAAAGGATTCCAGACAATAACTCTGTGTAAAGGAAAATGCTACCAGTACTAATTAGTGTCCACTTCTTATTCCAATCTCAATATTGCTCCAATCAAGGACTGTAATGCCACATCTCTTCTTGTTTGTAAAGAGAGAAATGTGCGTGTAGTGATAAATGAAGTTCATTACATTTTTAACCACAGGAAATCAAGGATTAAAAAAGTTGATTTTGCACCAAAATAGAGTGACCAAAATAAAAAAGTTAAAGATTGATCTGCACCATGGGATTAAAAAAATATTTGAAATGAAGGAAAAAATCATGTCTCCATTGACATGAAAATTGAATGTGACTGCAATATGCAACAACTTCTGCAACTATATAATTCAGTTATGCATCCAGAATGCACCCGTCTGTCAGGCTCAACATGCGTCCATTAGTTCTTTCATCTAATCTAATAAGAACAATTACTCAACAACCAAGTTTGTACAAGTCCAACAATTTACTGCCAGTCACAAATTCTTCTTAACAACTCATTTCTACTATGTACTGACTCTTGCTACATGAGTAACACATGTAGTGACAATGCTCTTACTCTATAAACAACAGAAGGTAGAAAGAAGAGTAAATTGTTTTTTATCCCAAAAGAAAAGAAAAGGAAAGAAACAAGAAGGTAGCTGCCAATAAATCGAGAAGACAACAAATTTATGAAAATCCGTCGTAGTTTCTTCCAACGAAAAGAAGCACATATTTTCGTATGACCTTAAAATAAGAAAAGAAAAGATATACAGACCGCAAAGAATTCTTTTAGGGATATTTTCTTGTTCGCTAATGCTTGTGACATTCAAAAAATCAAAAAGAAAAAAAAAACAGCTATGTATATTATGCTGCAATTGTACTGAGTCAATATCCTCTCTCCAGCAACACTATTTACTACTAAGGAAACTCGAGATCAAAAAGTTGTTAAATTTTTACACCAGAGAGAGATTGCAAAGTATTCCTTCATAAGCAAACTTACTAAGCAGGTCAATGATTCAATCTTACAAGTACCTTATGTACCGCAATTATATTTGTTCATTTCAGAATTTAAAACTACCCTTAATATGGAATTAATTTTAACAAACTAAAATGGAGGAAGGGAGAGTGAATAATAGAACTTACCCATGGACCAAGTATTTCTGCATATTGCTCTGAAATTTTGGGTTCATCTTGTAACTGTTCTCTTTTTTCCTGTTCATATGACAATGATATACTTAGTACAAAATGACTTTGGACACATCTATCTTAATTAATACTTAGAAAGTGAAAGTACATGACTATCTTCAGTCAAAAATAACCATACAACAGATTATAGTTCAAACAAAAAATGGAAGAAAAGTTTACGCATGAGATGAGAAGACAAACTTAAATTTAGGAGAAAGAACCCCAAGAAATAATATGCATTTAGTTACAACATACGAGTATACTACACGTTGCAGGAATCTACTGATCATGTTTTAGGGTATCACATAAATAATTACATAAAGATGATATCATATAATGCCACAAGTTGCATAAATCTGGCTTATGAGGTCATTGGTCATCTATCAGAATCACATTTTCCTTGGCACTACAATACTTACATAGAGAGAGGGTGAAAGAAGCAGAAGATTTCACAGTTAACAATTACATGAGTATGACACACGTATTGAAGTCAAAATTCAAGGTGGATTCTTGAAATTGTTTTTCAGCAATGTGTTTAAGCAAAATGCCAAAATACTTGACGTATAAATAATTAACAGTTCATCTTTCATGGAAGCATCCTTGAAACAAACATTTTAACATCCACAAGAATCCACAAAAAAATTATAAGTATTGGAGTTTCAGGTTTTTCTTTACATAGATCTAGTAATATCAATAAACTACAAGTAGATAAAAACCACAGGTTCTCATACATTGAGCATGATGTATAAATTGCATAATGCTTCTAAGGTCTTTTGATTCATTTCAAATATTTAGCATTGTTCTCTCTGTGAACGCAGATCAAGTAAATTTTTTGATTCATTTCAAATATTTAGCATTGTTTTGTCTGTGAATGCAAACAAAACATCAGAAACATAATTTTTATTTAGAAAAGATTGAAAAAAGCATAGCTGAACAAAAAACGAAAATATAATTTACTAACCACGACAATGAGTTATGAAGCATCACTAATGTGCAAATGTGATGACACACATTACAATCACACCACATAATGAGATGTGAGATATTATTCAAGTAAAAATATTTGAGGCCTTTAGACTTAAGCCCTCTTTGGTATTCTCCCGACCAAATTGGATTTAGGGCAAAATTTTCTCGATTCTATCATATGATTCATTCTTTTTGAATGCATTGATATATCAATGACCAGAGGACGCAAGTTGCAATAAATTTTATTAAAAGCTAGAGGTTTATAAGTGATAAAGAACATTCAAAGGGTTGTGAAATTTTTCAAGAGAAGTTAAAGTTTTATTCCTCTGTGTGCATGTAGCAAGAAGCGCGATAATATTTTTCCTCTTATATACTTTCTCACCTACCAAATAAACACGAAAATCCAAAATATACAGAGATGAAAAAAATTCTAAACAACCTCAAACTTTTATTTCATTACTTGATAATCTAGAAACTAAGAGCAGAGCTCCATTTGCAACAAGCAAACTACTTTCTTTAGCGTAAGATAAACATTTCATAAAGCAAACATAAATTTAGCACCAATTTCATGCTCTAGTAGATTTATTTCTTCAAATCTATCAACATTCAATCTTTGTCCCCACTCGTAGGTAGAGTTTGCCATA